GGGGACCCGCCCACCAGCTGGGCCGCGAATTCAAAGAGTTGAGTCAGATGCGCCGCCCCAAAGCTTTAAAGAAACACCGCCTGACGATTGTTATACGTACGTCGGATTGTAGCTTCTTTTTCCGCCCTGCACGGCCGGCATGCGGCATTGTAATTTTCTTATATCCCAATTTCATCCCAAAACAACGTTTTTCACATGTGAGGAGGCTAGTTCCACGGAGTGTACCGAGTGAATTTTCAAGTTTTATGGTCTGAGAACGAATTAATTTGCGTCAAATTTTGCATAAACACGTTTAGTTCGGGTTCTCCCGTGTTTATTCATTTTTCGGGTTCTCCCGTGTCTTGGGCGTGCGCTAAGTTTATAGCGTTGTTCTGTTAAAAATCGACTCCGTTTTCATCTAGTTGGCTGACCCCGTAGCTGACAGAAGTAGAATGTTTTCCTACCGAAAGAAACTTTGCCAGCCGCGTGGAAGTACTTGCTTTCAGGGTGATAGCAATCTATCGAAATTAATTATGGACATGGTCGTTGTTGATGCAAGAGTTTTTGGGGAGGGGGGAGACGCACGCCCCGGGATTTTGATGGGCAAACTTTTAATTGTCGCAATTCTTAATACCAAGGATGTCTCTGTTAATACTAATACGGAGACCTCTTGACGCAAGCTACCCATGAGAAGACAACAGCTACAAGATTATGAAACACAACCACAAACTACTGCCGGTACGCCTCATAATTTTTATTTCTTGGTAACAATCTTGCCGAATTTACCGGAGACGGAGGGATTACTACACGTTACATTGTATTCATTCACGGTAGTTTCTTAAAGTTAAAGTTTGCGCTGAACAATAGCTTTGAAAAAAAAGTAGCAGTTTTATGATAACTATGACCGCGTGAGAAACACCTTATACACATTATTTTCGTACATTCCTATGCTTCAACACCATCAAAATTGTAGCAAAATTGTAGCAAAGTTGACTGGCGTCAGACTCCATCGGCCCGTCACAGATCGCCCGGCAGGACGTAAAAATAAACATTTGACACGCCGCCATCGCCGTTCCGAGCCGCGGCAGACTTCGGGGTCTCGCACCAAGTTTTTTCGCTACGCGGTACGCGGGACACGGCAGGCCTCCCGAAAGAATACCGCGGGATATCCCGCAATCTCCCGCGTGATATCCCGCAAACTCCCGCGGGATATCCCGCAGTCTCCCGCGTGATATCCCGCAAACTCCCGCGGGATCTCCCGCAAAATCCCGAATCCCGATGATGCTTATCCCGCGATCTGTACTGTAGGCTACTCCTCCCTCAAGAAAGCCATTTCTGTTCACTCTCCTCTGTGCCAGGAAACCAGCTTGTTGTTACAGTGTTAAATAGTTGAGATGCCCTTTTGCTGATCAGAAATTATCATCTGTTCCAGCAAATCAACCTTCCGTCTGCGATGGAGACGGCGCTGAAGCTGGATAAGGTGGAGTTTGTGAAGCTGCTGCTGGACCACGGCGTGGAGCTCAGCAAGTTCCTCACCGTGCGCAGACTGAGGGACCTGTACGATGATGTGAGTAACTGTAGCAGACACCCTGTGGTGTTGGGTTACATTATGTAGCAAGTTCCTCACCGTGCGCAGACTGAGGGACCTGTACGACGATGTGAGTAACTGTAGCAGACACCCTGTGGTGTTGGGTTACATTATGTAGCAAGTTTCTCACCGTGCTCAGACTCAGGGACCTGTAAGATGATGGGAGTTTTACATGGTACTGATTATGTTTGTGTCATTATTTTGCTATGTTTGTTTCTTCTGTTCAACAGGTCAATGACCTGGACCAAAAGGCTGTCACATGGTAACTGGTGCTGTAGCAGCACCCAGTTATGTAGCAAGTGGCAGGGACAGAGTTAGAGAGGC